CATTAGTAGCCCAGTCACAAAACTATCAACGAACACAAACCTTCCAACCAAAGAAAAAGTAAAGTTCTGAACGCGATACAGTTGCTGAAATCCGGGAAAGTAGTGAGACCAGATGAAATTCTACCAGAAGCACTGAAAACAGACGCAGAGACAGTGGCGGACATGCTAACACCACTTAAACTGCAGAAGGTTTGGAAGGAAGGAAGGAAAGGTGCTCGTCTGTTGATTGGATGAAGGGCTGACTTGTCAAACTCCAAAAGAAGGGAGACATAATTCTCTGCAAGAACTGACAGGCAATCATGCTCCACTCCTGTCCACTCCAAGCAAAATATTTGGCCGTATCATCCTGGAGAGACTAAAGGATGCTCTGGATTCAAAATACGACCGGAATTGGCTGGCTGGCTGGCTTCAGGAAGAACTAATCATGTATGGACCAAATTGCAACCCTAAGCATTAACATAGAATAGAGCATAGAATGGCAGTTGACTCTCCACCTCACCTTCATAGACTTTGAAAAGACCTTCGACAGCGTCGACCAAGAAGTAATTTGGCAGCCAGCTGCTCTAACACTGTGGTTTCACTGTCACAAACCTTTATCAACCACATTCAACAGCGGCTATCTGCTATGCTAAATAATGCTACATACCAAGGGTTCACAATTGAAGCCTCAGCACAGTGATGCCTTTGACGTGCAGTGATGACACGAGGGAGTAAGGCAAGGTTGCCTACTATCGTCACCGATGATCTTCTTGATTGTGGTCGACTGGATTGTGCAGTGAACCGTGAGGAGCGAGAAAATTGGCATACGCCGCTTGACCGATGAAAAAGCCCTAGAAAATTTGCATTTCACTGATGATAGTCCGTGTTCTATGTTGCACAAACTCGAAGATCTACTGGCGAAAACTAACAAGTTGGCAGAAGGGGTGAGGTGAGGCAGCGAAGGAAGACAGGGCTTCCTTCGGGTGAACGTAGGGAAAACGGAGGTGATGAAGATACTCAACCCGACCCAAACAACAGCAAAAAGCACCAGTTACCATCAGCGAGAGAAATCTGAACAAAGTTGTCTCCTTCATCTACCCACCTACCTGGACAGCATCGTTTCAACTACAGGTGGTAGCACAGATGAGGGTGTCAAAGCCGGAGTCGGAAAGACAGCAAGACGGGTCCTCGTTGACCTGAAACCAGCGTGGGGATCCATTCTACTCTGCATAAAACGTGAACAAGATCCGGATTTTCAACACTAGTGTCAGCCATGCCAGTGCTTCTATGTGGTGGTCGGGAGACTTAGCGCGTTATGTGAAGCGTTTCCAACAAACTACAGACATACTTCATCAACAGCTGCCACCTATGCTCACTCGATAGTGAAGATCAGATCAGATGGTCAGAATAACAAGAATGAACAACAAGAAACTCTAAACTGGCAACGAACCATCCAACGAAGAAGCCATCGCCCAACAAATATGTGAAGAAAGAGAGTGGAGATGGATTGCATTGTACTGGACATACACTGGGAAGACGATTTGGAGACACCATATGCCGGACCGTGGAGTGGAAGCCAAATGGGAAACGACGAGTTGGGCTTCTGGGGAGAGGGTTACATGGAAGAGATGGTGTGAGGAAGAAATGAAAGTTTGTGAGAAGTTGTGTGGCCAGGTCGGGGAGACTGTAGAGGAGAGAATGAAGTGGCGATGCGCTACTGGAGCTCTTTGTTACATTAGGAATCCACAGGACAAATAATTATAATACTAGTAATAAATGTCGACGGAAACGGTGAGAAAAATGAAACGGAATGCGTAACACAACTCCAGCATTGTTCAGTCACTGCATGTACGAATATTTCGGCATAAAAATAATATGGAGTGAATGATGCGACAAGAAAACATGTCGAACACGTTTGCACAGAGTATGCGGCTGCTGAATTCAGTCAGATTCAAATTCATGTTGTAACTGTGGTTGAGGTTCATAGAAGTCAGATAATAGGCTAGTAGTTGGGTATCTCTTAGTTGTAGGAGAAATCTCATCCACTCACTGTGTTCCAGAAGCTATAAAATATGTTCAGAAGAAATGGTGGATGTTGAAATTGAAACTCTTGGAACAACACTGTTGAATAAGAGATATCCTAAAAATTATTTTACGAATCTGAATAAAACGAATCACTCCTTATCCTATTGCAGTTCCTAAGAGGATCTCAACCTTTAATTCAGAGTTCAACGGAGACACCACAGTCAAAGTGCTGAAGAACCGTCTGTCAAAGTTTATCAATGGTAGCCTTTTTGCTGCTAGACTGAGATTCATTTTCTCCTGCTGCCATCTGATTCGACAATGCATGAAGCGTAGGCTACCACTTATGTCCACTTCTATCTCTATCTACAAATTCACGTGCTCCTGTACAGCTGAATATATTGGACGTTGCAAGCGCTTCCTCCGAATACGTGTTGCTAAACACTACCGAGTTCGGCTTATCGAAAGAAACAGAAGAATAAACAATTCATTCACATGTGAACACCTAGTAAACTTGGGTCATTCAACACCTCTAGATTCAACCTGTAAAGTAATTAACAAAGCTAAATTGAACTATCCCAAAGGTCCACGTTTCCACCACTTATGCATGCTGAAGCATTAACTATACATGAACAAAGACCAAAACTTTGCATTCGAAAACGTTTTGTGAAACCACTTTCTCCACATTGGCCTTAACGATTCATTTTGGCTATTTGTCAATTTCATTTCATTTCACTTCACTTTTTGTATATTATGGTTTACTCCTCTTTTATTTTCATCATTATCATCAATTTCCACTTCATTGACAACATTTGACCCATATTTCAATACTTAATATCAATTCATACCTTATTCAGTGACCTACTTTGTATGTTTCAGCTAAATTATCACCGTTTCACAATTCTTTGACAACACTTGTCTCTTATCTCACCACTTGTTATCAATTCGTTGCTTATTTAGTAGCCCATTTTCTATTTCTTCCACTTGAAAAAATACCACCACTTACACCTATTGTATATTTTGTATATTGACTGAGCAACTTTTTAGTGCAATTATCTGTCATTTTACCAAGTAGAAGTACGACTGTACAGCTTGATAATGAAGTCATTGAAAAGAAATATTTCTTTGCTAAATTCTGAGACGATACATTCGAGAAATCCAACCATAAATTACCTTCTGTCTGACTGATTCTGCAAATGATAACCTGAACGTATTTTTTCTCATTCCTGAAAACATTAATTGATTAAGGGTTTACATCTTTAAGTTAATCAAGAAGACAAGAAAATGTTTGATCAATTTAATGTTTAGTGAGACAGTAGTGGACAGACAATCTACACAATTGCAGTTCTGTTTTCTACTCAAGTCGCATAAATCAGGTCATTATAACTACGACTTTTAAGAGCACCATCGTCCTACTAATTGCAAACTAGAATGTTAGTTAATAGTTTTTAATTAAAATTTTGATTTATTCTGTTAAGTAATTACTTGTCACATTTATATATTTTACTCGTGACATTAAATAAAAACGTATAGGTTTCAGTTGGCTTTGTTCCTGAACTTTGACTATTTTGGAATCAGGTATGATCTTTATTACCTCCAGTTCATGTGTATTAGGTCTAGTAAAGATCAGGAGTATACAGTAATTTTTTCATTCTGTAGAGATCGTTGAAAAAAAATATTGGTTATTCACTAGTACTTCTCTACACCTGACCATCACTTCATTTCATCTTTGAATGAACTTTACTAAATATTTACTTTAAAGTCTTCTTAATGCTAATGACGTCTAATTAACCTGCTCAATGCACAGTTAGAAAGTTGTTTTGAGTACATGAAGGATAAAGTCGGCAGTGAGCTCAAAACATTGACCTTTAAATTATTTTATTCAGAAATATGATCACATGAAAATTAATCTTTGCTGTCGATTTGATCATTGCTGAGGAATGACAATTCATCTACACCAAAAATGACAACGTGGCCAACTAGATCTACACTTTCAAACATTTTTGAACTCCTTTTCTGATTTAAGACTAAAATACCTACGAACGTGCAAATAATTCTAAGCATTTAATTAGGTAATTCAATTTTCTGTTCAAGGAACCTCAGAACTTTTTTTCGGGTGCCAAAGGCAACTTGACATAAAAAGATTATATCTAGAGCGTCATTTTGTATAGTTCAGAACTTAGAGGAGTCCTGGAAAATTACCACTTCAATAAATATAAGCAGGAATTAAGTTAACTGAATCTTACGCAAACACCAGCGAAGCGTTTATGTATAAAAGATTTAGAATAGTATGGAGTAAATCATTATAGCAATCTCATTAATGTCAACCAATCAAATCAACATGTTATTTACTGTCTTATTCAATGAAGTCTGTGAGTAGACGTCACATACAACTTTATCGATATTGCCTAACCCGTGATTACATAATAATAGGTTATTTTAATTCTTTCATTCAACATTTTGGTCTGTTAAAACAAATCTACTAAAAGTGAAACAGGTCGTCATTTTACCGAGTATAAATACAACTGTACAGCTTGATAATGAAGTCGTTGAAAAGAAATATTTCTTCGCTGATACATGTTCTTATTTATGAATAAATGAGTATATTTTGTCACTAAAAAAATCTGTCGATAATTCCAAATGGTAATACAAATACCACCTAAGGAAGAATATGAACTCCGCATAAACAGTTGAAGCGGTTTCCATAAAAGGCATATTTACACTCTAAAATAAGCCTACCAGTGTAATGAGTTTTATGCATCAGTATAAACCTTGTCATATGTAGGGTCCAACACCAGGGGTCCATCGATTTCCTTATAGTTCTTGTAGTCTAATGGACTTTTGACTTTGATCAGATGACGTGAATATAAGCATATATATATATATATATATATATATATATATATATATATATATATATATATATATACTGCAGATTGTATAGAATGTTATGAATTGGGAATACGCCACTCTCTCATTCTTTTCACACTTCATCTGTTATGCCAAGTCTGTCCATGTTGATGCGCACTAGATCACCACAACTACCTCACTTGCCTAGACTACCTCTAATCAATTCTCAAACAAACGTTGTCACTCAACGTCGACAGCATAAGAAATGTCGAAATCAACCGACAAGAATGAAGAAACCAAGGACATTTGGTCTCTATCTGATTACCAAGACAAGTCAACAGAATATCACAAGCATGCAGATTAGTTTAAGTTATAAGGTATTGAATCGAAGTCCCGATATAGCATTTCGAAATGTTTCATCAATCCGTTGTGATTTACTACCAGTCAACTTTCTGTGCAATGACAATTCAGCTAGAGATCATCCACTTCCACGTGAAATTTCCATAGACAGGATTCGTGCATTAATTCAGCCTAGTCCACATATACGAAATCGCATCCAACCTGATATTCACCTTAAATGGAAAAGTGCAAAATGGGATAAAGTCAAATCTCCAGAACTGCAAGTGTTAAGTGAAAACTATCAGTCTGAAAAAATGAAGTCGAAATTATCTAATGTGAAACCCTTTTTGTACTCGAAACCTCTTCGTGGAATTATTTATGACGGTAGTCGTTTGAAATTCTTCTATAATTCTTTATACGAATGTAACTTTCCTGCTATAAAATATGTACTGGAACGCGAGCCAAGTTTAGTCGTTGATGCAATTGAACCGAATACTGGTTACTCAGTCATTTTGATAGCCTTATCAATCAAATCGTCGGTTAAACGCGAAAAATTAGTAAAGTTGCTATTGAAATACTTAAAGAAATACCTACAAAAACACTCGGATGACTCTAATGAGAGTGATATATGTGAACGCCTTCTTCAGGTAGTCGATCCCATTGAACGATGTGATTGTGTTGGATGGACATGTGTGCTCGGCTATGAGAAGGAGTTCCACCTACTCATAACTCACTTGATATCCGGCTTTGATGCTTATAAATCAGACCGTTATGGAAATACGTATCTACATTTGGCTTTAATGGGTGGTTCAGTGAATATTGTAAGTTATTTATGTCAGTATATGAAAAGGTATTGTATTTCATGCGATGAGTGTATAAATTCCTGGGGTATGAATCCACTTCAGCTGGCCATTGTATTGCAATTTGATTCAGTATTGGATATGTTGAAATAAATTTAATATTAAACGATATCTGACAGCATACTATTCATTTTTCCTTCAACTCTGAGTATATCCTGGTTAAATAAAAAAATTAAGGAAATGCTAATATCTGCTAAATGTCCGATTAGGCATACCATTGATGACGTGGTTCAACTAGATAACATACCTGAAATCTGTATTGAAGTAAGAGATCATTTAGGCGGACGATAGCACAAATAAACCCAATTCAATTGTGTTGCAGCGAAGACTTCAGGCACAGCTACTAACTTGTTGGAATCTTCTTGATGGTTTGAATTGGTGTTAATCAGTCAAGACTTTGCAAACCTTATTTATTAAAATAGTGCTCGGGACAAGGAGAGTCTTTCCTAGAAGTGAAGTTTATGAATTCCCAGTTCATATGTACCAATTTAGATGGATAGATTGACTTTGAGATATGGTCCCCAAGATTACTTACATAAACTTCAATCCAGTGCACTTGGCATCAGATCTCTCTATTGCTTACTGGTCAACACAGTGAAAACAGACTATCGACCATAATAGCATCAGTAGCGCAGTTTTGATGGTTTACTTGAATATATTCTGTAGTGAAATCATTTATATTACCCAACTGTGTCGTAATAGATTCTAATCAGGTCAATTAAATATTCGTCCGAGGAGTATAGATTAAACGGTCAACATATTACCTGAGCGCAAATGAGAATACAAAAATTGTGATAAGACTGAAAGGGAGTTGAAAGCCTTCACTGTGTTGATATTTCGACAAATGGTGTTAATATTTACAAACTCATTTGATGACAGACATTTTAGAGTCAAGAATCTTCATGACCCATTAGAGCGGGTTCAGTCCATCTTTCGAATGAGTGTAGTCCAACGCATATGCCATAGACATGGATTGAGTCACTGCAATTGCAGCATCCTGAATACGTTTACGTCGGGAGTGCTAATTGAGTTTAGCTGTCCACTGAAAAGAAACAAAATAATTGTCTTAAGAGCTAAAAGGACTCAAGGGAGAGATAGATTGATAACTGAGTTGTTGTCCATTGAATCCACATTCACTTCATTCATCATCGAGTATCATAGGTGCAGCGCAATAACAAGACGAAGCGGGCAATAAATACTGAGTTACGAAATTATTTTACTCGTAAGTTTTCTTCCTAGAAATCAGAAATCAAAAGGACTAATTGGATTCTTCAACAAATAGACTAAACTCCTGTTACGCGTAAAATCCGTAACAAAGGATTTATCTGAATTACAATACTGTATTGATGAAAAACTACAAATAATAATGTACAAACCTCGAAACTTGAGATGTCTCCTAGCATGTCTCCATCAAAAGCACCTCACAGGAAGTGCAATAACAGTATAGACAGGATATTTATGTCTAAAGTAAACTCCGGAATGTTATGAAAAACGCACGAATCCTCAGGGCAAGGTTGTAGGTGTGGTACTAACAAGTGTTTTAGGGGAGATATAGAATCAAGAAAGTGACCATGAGAACGCAACATTATCATAAGGTGGGTTGATACCAATACCCCGGGTTGGTAAAGGACGAACAAAATCAGGCTACAACAGAAGTAAACAATTGAAACTGAAGCCTCGGTCGCATTATGCACAAATATGCGTTTCACTACTGGTTATTAGTAAGTAGCATAAACATGTGTCTAAAAGTGTCAATTCGTAATACGATTAGTATTATTATAATTTGTTCCTTAAGTTCCTAGTAGAACACACGGTTTCAGTAGCACGTCTCCATTCCACTCTGTTCTCTGCAAACTTTTGAATCTGGCTCCACAACAGCCCACAAGATCTCATTTCTCCCTCGCACGATCTCCTCCATGTCACCCTCGCCTCGGACGCCCAACTAGTCGCTTCTCATCTGGGTTCCACTCGACGACCTGGCGCCTGATGTCCACAGTCCGCCTTCTCAGTGGATGCTCAATACAGTTCATCTCCATTTCCTTCTCCACATTTGTTCAGCCATAGGTTCTTGGTTGGCTCGTTGTCAGCCAACCAGAGTCCCTTGTTGCTAATTCTTATTATTCTGGCCATCTGGTCTTAAGTAACGAGCCAGCGTGGGCAGTTGTTGATGAATGTCTGTAGTTTGTTGGAAATCCCTTTCGTAACGCGCCAAGTTTCTGAACCATACAGAAGTACTGACTTGACTGACATTGGTGTTGAAAATCTGGATCTTGTTCTGTGTGTTGAATGCAGCTGATCTCCACACTGGTTTCAGGTTAATGAATGCTTGTCTTGCTTTTTATTTCCTGGTTTTGACGTCCTCATTTGTGCCACCTGCAGGTGAAACAGTGCTGCTTTGACTAGATAGGTGAAATAAGCTATTTCCTTTAAGTTTCTCCTGTTGATGGTAATCGGAGCTCGTTGTTGTTGGTTGGGTATCTTCATCACCTCTGTCTTCTTTATATTCACTTGAAGTCCCGTCTTCGTTGCCCTGCCTCTTCTGTCAACTTGTTAGTTTGCGCCTGTAGATCTTCAAGTTTGTGCGACATCAGACATAAGTCACCGATGGTGAAATCCAAATCTTCTAGGATCTTTCTCCCGGTCCATCCAGCGTATCCCCGTCTTCACACAGCTCCTCACAGTTTGTTGCATGGTCCAGTCCACTACAATCAGGAATATCATGGGGGATAGTAGACAGCCTTGTTTCACTCCTGTCTTCACTTCACCCCAAAGGCATCACTGAGCTTCCCATTGTGAATTACTTGGCATGAGGCGTCTTCATATATTTGTTGAATGAGATTGATAAAGGTTTGTGGTATTCCGTAGTGTTGAAGCAACTGCTTGCCAAATTACTTCTCGGTCAATGCTGTTGAAGACCGGCCTTTTTAAAGTCGATGAAGTTGAGGTAGAGATCCAGTTGACTGTCATTCTATAATCTCTGTTGTGATGATGCGAAGCGTTGCAATTTGATCCGCACATGATTTGTACTTCCTGAATTCAGCCAGCCTGTTCCGGTCGTAGTTTTGAATCAAGCGCATCCTTTAGTCTCTCCAGGATGATGCGGCTTAATATTTTACTCAGGGTGGACAGGGGTGGGGCATGATTCCGCGCCAGTTCTTGCAACCACTTTGGTCGCCCTTCTTTGGGAATTTGATAAGGTAGCCCTTCTTCCAATCACTAGCCAGGTACCTTCTCTTCCTTCCACACCTTCTGCAATAGTGGTGTGAGCATGCAAGCTGTTGTCTCTGCCTCTGTTCTCAGTGCTTCTGGTGGGATCCCATCTGGTCCTGCTGCTTTCCCTCATTTCAGTAGCTTTATGGCGTTCAGGACTTCCACTTTTGTTGGAGGATTTATGTTCACTTGTAGTTCTGTGGCTGGGCTGCAGGTGGTATTCCTGAACGAAGTGCAGGTGGTGGTGGTGGTCGATTCAACAGCTTTTTGAAGTGGTCAACCCATCGTTTCCTTTGTTTCTCTTGTTTGGTAACTAGCTTTCCTTCATCAGCTTTTACTGGTTTAATGTGTGTTGATCTCCTTCCAGATAGTAACCTGGTCATTTGATACAATATTGTCAAGTCTCTGTGTCTCCAACCTGTGGCCTGTTCTGCTTCACTTGCTAGTGTTTCGTCGAAGTGTCTTTTGTCTTTCCGTGCACTTTTCTTCACTTCTTTATCCAGTGTTTGTTGTACGTTGTGCTCAGTTCCTCTCCTCGTTGTGCATCCTTGCACTAGTTCGTCTTCTGTTTCACCATTCTCCTCTCCCTGCTCTATCAGCTTCCATGTCGAGAGCCATGGAGATTCATTCCTTATCTTCTTTCCTAATACGGTTATGCTGATTACTTTCCACATAGCTTTAAAAGAGTTCCAGAGTTCCATCCACACAGGTTTCTTCAGGGACGCTGCTCAATATCTCGCATTTTGTCGTGATGGCTGGCGTGAAGATGTCGTTTGTAGCTTCGTTCTTCAGTTTCTGTTCTGGGTGTTGAACTTAAACTGTGGTCCTTGAAGGCTTTCAACTTGATTTGGAAGGTCCCGTGCACTAGATAATGGTCTGAACTTACATCTGCTCCTCTTCTTGACCTTGTGTCAAGTAGACTGCGTCTCCACCTTCCTCAGATAGAAATGAAGTCGATCTGATTTTTAGTGTGTCCTGCTATCTGGTGAAATCAAATGCATGCCGCTTTGTGGATATCCTTGTGCTTGAACACAGTGCCTCCAATCGCCTAATCTTTGAACGTATAGGATTCTGCAAACAATTCTCCATTCTCGTTCATCACCTCACCGAGTGCTTCTCGACCCATGGTAAGTTCTCATTCTGTATTGTCCGCTCCATGCAGTTTGACATTCATGTCGCCCATCAGAATTTTATATCGCCAACTGAGGTTTTGTGCAGTGCTGATTGCAGTTGTGTGTAAAATCCCTCCATTTTTTCTTGATCTGCATTACTTGTAGATGGGGGGTGTAGCACTGAATGGTTGTGACCTTCCTTCCTTTTGTGATGATCCTGATGCTGGAGGAGATCGGTTCCCACTGCATGAGAGAGAGCCTTCGATGCTGTTGGGGATATCATGATAGCCACTCCAATACTTAGTGTGCTCGTGGTTGTCGTCTGGATGACAATATCGGAGTAGATTACTGATTTTCCAGATGACAGTTTGGAGAGTCCACTCCCATTCCATCTGCTTTCGCGAATTCCAAACACTTCAGCGTGATACCTTCTCATCTCGTTTGCAATCTGGGCTACCTTGGTAGGTTCAAACATGGTGTGGACATTCCATGTCCCCACGTTTACTTTCGCTTTCATCGAGGGAGAGAAGACACATCGGCCACTTGGCTTCCTGAAGGCAGGCTTCCATAAACCGGTATCATTTCACCTCTCCGATTTCAGTGAGGAATAATTTTATTTTTTATATTTTGTTTGTGCTGTGAAGTTTATTTAGCGGTTAGATTTGTTTTCCGGTGTAGGGTTGCTAGCGCTATGCCCAACCTTTCCTGTTTACCCGGCTTAGGACCGGCTATTAACTAGTGAACTAGTTAACCAGGCGAGGTTCGGAATAC